CTCTCCTAGACCCATTTAAGAGCTGACTACCGGGGGGAAGGATCTCTCTCTCTTGGGAAGATCCACTCCGCTGGAGTTTCCTGAGCGAGCCCACGACATGGGTGAGCCTTCTATTTATTCTCTTTGTCTTGCTGTGCCTAACTCTCTTGCTTATTTCATTATTATAACATCTTAATATTATTAAATTATATAATATTCCTTTATATAACTTTCATTGATTATACAGCAAGTCTTGGAGCTTTCAAGTTTTTGGGCAGCTTTGATGACTTAAGGATTAGCATACAAAAACACCATGTAGAAGTACAGATGGAGTTACAACCATGCCCTCAGGGCATTTAAATCTGCTGCTTCACTCATGAACCTTTTAGCCACCCCAGAGCGGATGGAGTTCAGCACTGTAGAGATGTGCTCAGGGCAGGTGTTTGATCCCTGTATGGGGCAGTGCTATCAGAGACCTTCCTCAGGGGAGACCACATCCCTGAGGCAGTGGCTGATACTGTTCTCACCCCTCACAGATGCCGTGGGAAGAAGTGAGGAGCGAGATGGTAGGAGAGAAGGGACTCTCACCTGAGGCTGCAGATTGCATTGGGGAGTACGTCCAGCTTCATGGTGAGCACGGTGGGATCCAGCCCTTGTCCTCCCTCCTGCTCTGTTGTGCTCCTCATGAGTGCAGCTGCTCTCCTCCATGCCAGGCAGGCCGGGACAGGTGTGTCCTGAGCAGGGATGGAGGGGCACAAAGCAGCACACAGCAGCCTGGGTCGTTGCAGGTGCTGCTGTGCTGGCTGACCTGAGGCACAACTTGTCCCTGCAGGTGGCATGGACCTGATTGAGCAGCTTCTCCAGGACCCAAAGCTGTCCCAGAACAAGCTGGCCAAGGAGGGGCTGGGGGACATGAAGCTGCTGTTTGAGTACCTGACGCTGTTTGGCATCACGGGGAAGGTGAGGAGGAGCAGAGGCAGGAGGGGGTGCTGCCCTGCTGGCTGGGCAGCCCTGGGTCCCTGACCACAGTTGCTGAAGAGGTTTCTTTTGTGTCCTGCAGGTCTCCTTTGACCTGAGCCTGGCACGAGGCCTGGATTACTACACGGGGGTGATATATGAGGCTGTCCTGCTGCAGCAGGAGAATGACCATGGGGAGGAGTCAGTCAGCGTTGGGAGCGTGGCTGGAGGTGGTCGCTATGATGGTCTGGTGGGAATGTTTGATCCCAAGGGACGGAAGGTGCCATGTGTGGGGGTCAGCATTGGGATTGAGCGCATCTTCTCCATCCTTGAGCAGAGACTGGAGGTGAGTGCATTGGTACTCAGCTAAGCACAGGGTCTGCATTCTCCTCATGTATTTATTCCAGTCCAGCAAATGCTGAAGTGAGTCTTTGATAGAGAACCTCTCCAGGCCCCTGCTGTGTTCTACAGCAAGAAGTCGAAACAAGTTCAGTCTCCTGTTTTTTCTGGCTTTGGACATGATCCCTTTTCTACAGTCCCCACTACAGCTCCACCTGGAGGGAGCAGTGTGATTTCCAGCAGTGTAAGGTGCCTTGGTCAGATGCCCCAGTGTTCCCCTTGCACTAAGCACCCATGTGACCACACTGCTTTCATGACAAGCCAGTGCTGCTCTGCAAGGTTCATGGGCAAACAGTCTTGGACATGTGCTCATCCTGCTGAGAGCACTGCAAAGACTTGACAGGGGCTGGATGTCCCATGGTAGAGTACAGTGCCTTTGTCAGGGTTTGAGGTACAGTTTTCCTCTTCCCTCCTCCTCAGAGCTGTTCTACCAATTTGTTCTCAGTCCCATTCAGTGAATGCTAAAGAGGTCTTGGTTAGGATTCCAAAACACTGCCATGCATTTCCCTCCCCCAGAGCCCTGTTGTGGGGAGAGCTCTTGGCATCCAGACCCAACTGCAACTGACAGAGCTGGGGCATCTCAGCTTGCTGCTCTTAGCCTAACTCATAGTTATGAGCCCAGCTGTAGAACATGCAGCTGGCTCTGTGCAGCTCCAACAGGGCTTGCTGCTCTCAGCCACTCTGAGCAGATCTCCCAGAGGCTGCAGGCCCTCGGGTCTGGAGGGACAATCTAGGCAGAAGTTGGCAGTGAAATCAGTCATTCTCAGCATGTTCTCCAGCCTGTGCACACCTGCAAGCACAGAAAGGAGGCTAGGATAAGCACCAGAACATGGAACAATCACAGGTGTTGAGGTTTAGGGTGGGTCTAAAGCGTATGCTGTTCTTAGAGCCTTGGATATGTCTGTGTGTCCATACAATCTTTTGAGTCTTGTCCACTTTCTAGGCTGCGGAGGAGAAGATCAGGACAACAGAGACACAAGTGCTCGTGGCCTCTGCCCAAAAGAAGCTCCTTGAAGAGCGGCTGAAGCTCATCTCTGAGCTCTGGGATGCTGGAATCAAGGTATAATCAGGTGATGCATGGTTAGGAGCTGCATGGTCCTCTCTCTTCTTTCTTATGCCCAGAAATGGACCACATCTGGCTTTGCTCTGGGAGGAAGGAGTCTCAGAGAGAGGGTGGGCAGCAGACTGCCTTTCTGAATGGAGCTTGCCTCTTCATGTCCTAGATAAGATGTTTTCCAAGGGGTGCTGGGTGATAAGACTTGCTTGGCCCTATACTTCTGCAGAGGCTGTTGTGGCTTTGCTCAGGATGGATTGCCAAAGCAGGGCAGCACTTCAGCCTCTGCTGAATGGCAGCTGTGATGTCATGCCACTTCCACCAGAAAACACAATGTTGCAGAGCCTTGCAAGGAGGGGAGGAGCCTGGGCTGTGTTTTCCATTGTCTAAAAAGCCACCTGTGTCTGTGCACTGCTCCTGCTGCAGGCAGTCTGCCGTGAGACCCAGCAGAGAAAGGATGATCTATGGGGCTTCTGAGCCTCAGGAACAGCACAGGTGTCTCACACAGGTGTCACAACAACACACACACACTAGAGCTGACAACCTGGTGCTTTCCCAGGAGCAGCAGTGTCTTCCAAGCTCCTCTGAGCTGTGCTGCATTACTTTCTAGCTGCAGTGCCCTGCCTTTGATGTCAGCCAGTCTGTACGCAGCTCCCATTCACGGGATAGCAATTGGACTGGCCTGTAAGTGCTGGTGGGACGATGGGGCACAGAGCAACAGGCCAGTGCTGAGAGCAACCTTGTGCTCTGGTTCCCTTCCAGGCAGAAGTACTGTACAAGAAGAACCCCAAGCTCCTGAATCAGCTGCAGTACTGCGAGGACACGGGCATCCCCCTTGTGGCCATTGTGGGAGAGCAGGAGCTCAAGGATGGCGTTGTCAAGCTGCGGGTGGTGGCAACCAGGGAGGAGGTGAGGCTTGTGGTGACTCAGAGGGGGTGAGGGCTGCCCGACCTTCCATCCCAGCTCAGACCTGCCTTCCATGCTCTGTTCAGCCGGGTAAGGTTGTATACAGCTCTGGGAGCTGGTGCAGGCCCACACTTTGAGTCTGGTACCCAGAGGAGAGTTAAAAGCTCAAGGGCCTGCAGTGAGGGAGGGTCAGCATTGCTCTGTGGCTGCTTCCGTGTTCCTTCCAAGGTATGGCAGTATCACTGAGGGGCCTGAAAGTGCCCTGCTGGAACAAGGAGTGGACTCAGTGACCATCTGTGTGCTGGCCTCAGTTTTGGAAAGAGTGGAAGAGCGCTGTGCCTTGGTCATTGGGTTGGGAGGGTTACTTACAGTGCTTACTGTCACAGAACGGAGTTCAGCTCTGTGTATGCTGCTGCCTGCTTGATCCCCATAGAGGGACTGGTGCCACAGTGGCACAATTTCATCAGACAGAGGCCGTGAATTAGGGCATGGGCCATTCCTCAGGGACCATGCAGCCAGCTGCTTGTGTTGTATTTATGGAGCCTTCTGCTTTCTGTGTAGGTCAACATCCGCAGGGAGAGCCTCGTGGAGGAGATCAGGAGGCGAACAAGTCAGCTTTAGTGCCCACCTGGACAGCTCTCCCTCGCTGGGTTCTGGTGAACAGATGTACTCCTGTAACCACCAGGCTGCTTGGCTCCACCACCCAGCCAGCTGGCAGCAGGTGCAGGGTCAGGGAAGCCTTTGGAGGTTGTATTTATTCTTTGTCTTGCATCCTCCCCTTCTCAGCAGGAGCAGAGAGGCCGCGCTCACTCCTATGAAACGCCTGGCCCTGGGCATTGTCATTGCAGCGAGGTTTTGTGAGCGGCTCTGGCACACGCTGCCCTCCTGTCTGCAGCTGTGCCGTGACCGGAGGAGCCCCACGCTGCCAGCAGCCCCCAGGCTCTTGGCTGCAGCTCCTTCTGCCCTTCACGTTCAATAAGTGTCCGGCCCAGCGTTTCTGCTCTGGCTGCGGGGGGGTTGACCTTATCCCATGCCAAACGTTCTGACAACCAATAAATCTCGTCCATCCTACGCCTCGCCTTTTGTTCCTTCCTCTCACCTGTCCACCTCTGCTCCTGCCCGTTCCTCGGCGGCCCCGCGCCAGGAGCGCAGCGCTGCAGACGACGGGGCTGTGCTGCACCCCCGGCACTCCGCTCTCTCCTCCCTCCCCGGGGCGGGGCGGTCGAGGCCCAAGGGTGGGCGGCGGCCACGGAAAGTTCCAGAGCCGGGCGGGGGGCCACGAGGAGCGGCGATGGCGGAGGAGGTGGGTGCTCTGTGGGAAGGGGCTGCGGGGCGAGGCCGCGCTCGTGGGATCCCCGCTTGTTTGGGAGCGGCCGTCGGGCTTCGCGCTGCGCGGCTCGAGGGCACCGCATGGGGCCGGCAGGGACTCGGAGCGGCTGCCGGGGGTTCGGTGTGCGCCCGTCGGGGCTCAGAGCCGCATTTCGCAGCGCTGCCGGGGTTGGGAGCCCCGCGTGGGACTGCTGCTGCCGGGACCCGCTCGGAGCTGACCCCGCTGGGTCCGCGGCTCCGTCCGGAGGGGTCTTCTGGGCTTCGGAAAAGGCGGAGCTCGGCGGGGACAGAAACACAGCGGTGCGCGGGGGTAAAATGCAACCAGACGGTATTTTAGCGTGAGCTGGGACCGGTGCGGTTGAGTTACGAAGGCTGGGGAAGACGTCTGCCGTCATCGACCCACTCCCGCCATGCACGCTAACCACGTCCCTCCGTGCCGCATCTCCACGGTTCTGGGACACCTCCGGCGCTTCAGAGGCGCTGATGAGACCGGGCGGTACTTCATGAGTACTCAGTGATGATGGTGCTGCGTGGGCAGTGTCCTCGGTTCCTCCCTAAGGCTGCATTGTTCCGGGGGGCGGTGGGCTGGAGGTGGGAGCTGGCTCTCCGTGTCCCACCCGTCCATCCTGCCTGGGGCTGTTGCTCACCGCGGTACAATGGCTCAGAGCGGCACTTTGCTCGCGCCCTGCCTTGTGATGCACCCAAATCTTTGCCGTCAGAGCCTTTGCAGACGTCTCTAGAGGAGCTCTTGGTGCCCATGTGCTCTACCAGAGTTGCCGCTGTTAGGCAGTGGAGCAGGAGAGCTCCTCGGATGCGCCCTGAAAGCAGGGCATTCCCCCACATGCAGCGCAGTGCTCAGCCTGGGGGTTGGGATGCCTGCAGTTGGGCAGCTGGGCTCTTTGCCCAGGGCAGCACCGACCTCCTCACTCCCTCCCTCAGCAGTGGACCAGCAGCATCAACCGGGCCAATAAGATGGCTCTGCTCACCTGGGTGAGAGAAACCGGCATCGACCTGGTGCAGGTGAACGGGCAGCGGCGCTACGGCGGCCCTCCTCCAGGTGGGTGCCAGCAGCTCGGCGCGGTGCTGCCCAGGGGGTCCCAGCGGGCGCTGCTCTGACACTGCGTCCGTGCGCCTGCAGGGTGGGTGGGCAGCCCGCCGCCCCCGGGCTCCGAGGTGTACATCGCCAAGCTGCCGCGGGACCTGTACGAGGACACGCTCATCCCGCTCTTCCAGAGCGTGGGGCGGCTCTACGAGTTCCGCCTCATGCTGACCTTCAGCGGGCTGAACCGCGGCTTCGCCTACGCCAAGTACAGCGACCAGCACAGCGCCGGGAAGGCCATCGCCGCCCTCAACAACTGGGAGGTGCAGGAGGGCCGCGCCATCCTGGTGTGCCGGAGCTTCGAGAAGTGCGAGCTGAGTGTGAACGGGCTGCCCGCCACGCTGCGCCGCAGGGAGCTGGACGCCATGCTGCTGGAGGCCACCGAGGGGCTGCTGGGCTTAGCGCTGCACAACAGCCCCGGCCGCAAGCAGGGCAAGGTCGCCGTGCTGACGTACAGCTCTCACCGGGCTGCCGCCATGGCCAAGAAAGCCCTGGTGGAAGGTAGTGGGAGGCGGCGGGTCGCTGGGGGTTAGAGGTGGGGTGGGACGGACCGAGCGTGCAGCTGCCGTGGGTCTCTCCTAGGGAACGTCGGCCTCTTCAAGAAGGCGAAGGTGGAGTGGCTGAAGCCTGAGCTGAAGGAGCAGCTGCAGGCGCATGGGGAGAAGCCACCCCCCAGCACCGTGCAGCGCCTGGGGAGCCCCGAGCGGGCGCTGCCATCCTCGGAGCTGCGTGGTGCGCTGGGCAGACTGCAGGCCTTGTGCCGGCGGCTGCACCTGGGGAGCCCCCGCTTCCTCACCAGGTGCGTGCAGGCTGAGCCCGACGGCTGGCAGCGGTACTGGGGCCAGGTGGTGATCCCGTCCTACCCCGTGCCCTGCAGCACCTTCCTGTGGGTGCGGGAGGACACGTCGGGCACCGCGGGGCACGAGAAGATCAAAGAGGCGGTAGCACAGCTGGCCCTGATGATGCTGGGTGAGTCCGTTCCCACCTCCCCTCGTGACCTGGGGGCTCTCCTGGGGCTGGGGGCTGCTGGGGGCGGGCCGGAGGGAGAGAAACACAGCATCCAGCTCTCTGCTCTCTCCTGCAGGGTACTGAGGGTCTGTGCAGGCACACGTTGTGCCCCAACTATGAAATGAGCCCGAGCCACCCAATGTCACATCGTGGAGCAGAGCTGAGCCCAGCGGGGCCGCGTTCCTGTTCAGCCTTGTTTTGAGTTCGTTGGCGTTTGTTTAAGGGCCATCTGGAGAGCGTGGGCACTGCCCCATCCCCACCGGCGCTGGTTCTGTTGTGAGCAGCAGGCACGTCCTGCCTGCTTCCATGTTTTCCTGTTGAAGTTTTGCGTTGCTGTGGTGCTGCAGGGCTCTCAGGAGGAGCAGCAGCTGCCTGGAAGGATGCAAGCTGGCGGTCTGACAGGGGGGGCTGGCACTGGTCCCCAATGCCTGCAGCCCTGTTTTTCCATGGGGCAGTCAGGGGACCCTGCAGGCACTGCCCGCAGCCTGGAGGCCAGCAGCCACCTGCTGGCTATTAAAGGAGCCTGGGAAGCACTGATGGTGTTCTGTTGTGTTTTGTTGCTTTGGTTTTTCTGGGTGGGTCCCATCCTACAGCCAGGCCCACATTGGGCAGCTCCTGTTGACATCACCCTGACGTCACCTCTGCACACAGTTCCTGAGGCACAGCAGCTGCCACACGCCTTGGGCCGGCTTTAGCCCAGCGGTTCCTTCGGTTCATGCATTCTGTGTATTCCGGGCTCCGACTGGGGTTCGATCCCGCGGGCACCCCTGGCCCATTTTGTGTGTTCCCATCGTTAACTTTTTAACCACTTCAGG